CGTCTGTTTCTTGCGGCTGCCCTCTCCTACTTTTGCCGCACTCTCTTGTTGGTGGAGTATGGGGAAGGGACGGAAAGCGGAAAGGGGGGAAAGGGGTTACAGGTTTCATTGTTGGGGGGTAGCAAGGGAGGATGTGGACACCGGCGGCAGGGTACGGGAGGTCGAGTGTCGTCAACAGGCTCTCGCGACGGCGTGGGGAGAGGTTGCACGCGGGTGCAACTGTAGCGTGTCGTGTGATGTGTTGTCCGGGGGATCTTTTTTTTTGGTTTTTTTTTTTTTTTTTGGGAAATAAAATTGAGGAATTACAATGAAAAGGGTGCGAAAATGGGGTGGTTTCTGGTTTCTGGGGTAAAAGTGAAAAGCGGCGAAAATTGAAAAGGGGTTTTGCTGTCTGCTCATGCCCACACGCCTGTGTGTTGACACAAGCGGGCGAGCCGCGCAGGCGTCGCTCGTGTAAACAGGCGTCTCCGGGGCGTATTGTTAACGGCCCCTTGCGTGTGTTCACCAGGTGTTGATACGTGATATCACGCGCCCCCTCCGTTCCAGCGCGGCACCACCGCCGCCCGCGCCGTCATCTACTCGGGCTGCGCTGTCTATCATATGTGCTTACACTGCTGAGCAAGATACAGTAGTAACATTTACAGTAGTTTCTAGTAGAACATCGTACATCGTTTATCGGGTTTGCAAAACCCAACACACGCTGCTTTTTCTACTGTACAGCGGAGGCATTTTGACCCGGACCGACGCACCCCCCTTTTCATTGTCTAGATGCGCGCGCGCGGCGGCAGAGCGGGTTGCGCTCCCATCTAAGATGGGGCGCGCGGGTTTTGCGCACGCGATCGAGCACTCGCCGCACGCGATCGAGCACTCGCCGCACGCGGTCGAGCAGTCGCGAAGGTGGTCGGGTGAGTGGTCGCGCGTCTCGCGGGCGGCGCTCGCGCGGAGAGTCGAGCGGGTGCACAGCGAGTGCGATATGTGGTTTGTGGTTTGATACATAAATCACTTGATTCCGATGTGTGCTGTACATGCAGTGTGGCGTGGTGTATACAGTAGGGGTAGTATGCGAGGCTTACGGGGCGGTGAGGTTGATCTGGTGGGGCGCATCACATGACAATGGGCAGAAATCGAGGAAGAAATCGAGGAAGAAATGCGGGCCATTCCATGTCTTTCCTCTCCTCCCTCCTCCCCTCCCTCCTCTCCTCCCCTCCCCTCCTTCCTCTCCTCCCTTACTACCAAAGGGTAGTTCCTCCCTTACTACAGTAGTTCCTCCAGTAGTTCCTCCCTTACTAGTTCCTCCCTTACTAGTGCACTACTGTCCTGTAGCACATGCTACAGTACCCAACGGTACAATACGGTTAGGGCACCCGCACATACTGTACTGTACACGGGTAAAAATCATACAACGCCGCCCACCAACGCCGCCCTCCAACGCTGCCCTCCAACGCTGCCCTCCAACGTGCCCTCCAACACGTGCCCTCCAACACGCGCCCTCTAACACGCCCTTCCAACACGCCCTTCCAACACGCCCACGCTTTTCCCCCGCCATTTCTAAAATCCCCTCTTTCCTGCCCTTCCGATCTCCGCCGCACCCGCCTCGCAGCAACTCCCCATGCATATTGTACCGTACCGTTGTATACATCGTGTATAGGGGTGACACTCCATGGGAAATAGCGCCTCTCTGTAACCACTATATTCCTGCTACAGAAGAGTACGGAGAGTAAATTACCATGACTCTCTCCATACACCGCGCACCGCGCCCTGTCATGCTTTGCCGCACACGGACGAGGACAACCGGCGCTCCCGCCAAAAGGCAACCATCCTCCAAAGTTTGGAGTCCAAACCTCCCGGAGATACACTGCCGTGCACTGCCCCACCGCCTATCATAATCACCCGCCATACTGTACTGCATCTACACTGGATCTAGAGTCTACACCCACCCCACCCCACCTCCCCCTCCGAGAGAAATAGAAAAGCCGCGAAAATTCAACCTACAGTACACCTGCCTTTTGCCCTCCTTCCGCTGCTCCTGCAACACACAACCTTCTCATTGCCTTCT